TCCGGCTAGTTTTTACACGCCGGCAAGTCAAACTGCCGTGCGACCGTTCCCACTAGATAGAACAATCAATCAATTCATGAAGTTAGTTCTACACAGGTACGACCTGCCCGAGCTCTGGACACCCAGTACGAATTCCGAGATCGACAGAGCACTGAGACCGCTCCAGATAACAGACTCTGGAGCGCGGGAGGCGCTGGTGGGGGACTGCTATCTTCGTATTCCGACTCGGTACCTGCGAAGATCAAGATCCCAACCAGAGTCATCTCCCTCGGAACCGGAGCTTAAATTCTTGGCTCAATTAGTGCTCCGCGAATGTTCACCTTCTTACGGCCAGTACCGTAATGAATACCAGCTCCACGGGGAAGACGCGAAAGGGACACTGTCGAATGCCATTACTAACGTCATAGCATGCCTGATACGACTCTGTGTTCGCCAGCGCGAGCTATCCGACAGCGTGGTAGCAAGTTCCGCCGGATCGCCCAGGGCCGAAGATGACGTGCCAAACACAGGCGCGTTTGAACGACCGATCACGTGGGGAATCCCATCGAGCCCCGACGGTAGGTCGTCGTGTCCTAAACGAACGCTCATGTCGTAGGGCTAACCGAGATGTCAGGTTTATAAAATTGGTCTTGGCATGAGGGGTTACCAGGAGCTGGTTCGCCTCCGAGAGCAATGGGCCACCCACGGCCAGCCCAGTCTGCCGCAGATTGCTCCTCCTATCATGCCCGTCTTGGTATTTAACCTTCGATCAACCGACTATTTTGGACCGACAGCGGAGTGGTGCTCCAAGAAGCGCAGCTGGGTTGTGAAGCCATTCGAGAAATGCCAGACGGCCAGCGAATACAGCATTTTCCTCCGTCAGGAGCTCGAAAAGTACGAAGTCCTTCTACATCAGCGACAACATCGGCGCCGAAGCCGAAGGAAGCAGAGACGCGAGCAGAGACCTGACTTCCACTCCGACGCAGAAGCGGGCTCGTCTTCGGCGTCCGCCGATGAGACATCGGACGAAGAGAGTCTCAGAGCACGACAACGACGACAAGGCCGGGTGGTGAAGCGGATGGAGGCGCGGGTGTGCAAACTGATGGCACAAGAGCTGGAAGATGCGGCAAAAGCGACGAGAAATGTACCGGCTCGAAGATACGGGTAACTGGAGAAAACTCGGTGAGTATCTCGAGAGGGAATTCAATCATCGGCTTCGTCAGGTCCAGTCGTGACTCAAGCATGGGCAATGGTAAAAGGGCACCTGAGGCAAGAGGCATTTATGTACAATAAGTATTAATGAGGGGACGTTGGGGCGTCGCTGATGACTGTTTATTCTACACCTGATCACTTTTATGTTTCCCCGATGAATGCTTGCACCGCCTTAGTCGCATATGCAGTGTTCCATATTAAAGGCAAGGCCGTCGTTTAAGCGGATGAGAGATGCAACGTTCGCTCGCGCATGGATGGCACGTGGCAGATGCGTAGCCGCCGGCTTGTAGCAGGATAGCAAAATAGCAACAACAGTTAACAACAACAGCACGTCGACTCCAACAACTCGACAGACAGCAGGTAAACATTCATGTCGCACTCGGACGCTCAACTCAGGGATCAATTAGCCGACATAATTGACCTTAACGCACAAACTATCGTGTGTCTCATGAAAAATTCTGAACTATGGCTGCCCGTCAGGATTGCCTTCGACATCACAGACATGAAGCTGGTGATATTATACTCCCTTCTAGGTAACACAATTTTATTCCCGAATGTACATGTGTCCTCAAGTGATGACCTAAACCATGGCTCTGAGCCACCTTGATTCCGACCTTACACTTTCCAGCGAAAAGGTCGAATGCGCTATGACTTGGAGTTTATTCTATAAAGTACCCGATCAGTTTGAGAGTGTGAAATCCGCGGCTAACTGGGTAATACTATGGGCGAAAAACGGCTTTGGGCCATAGGGTTAGGTGTCCCCGCGGGGGCTAAATGCCATGTCACAAGAATCGAGACACAGTAAAATGGATGCAGCATTGGATATCGCGTTCTGATATGCGTCGTCTGCCGAACGAGAGTTGCGCCTGGGAAGTCTATTGGCAACCATCTCCGTAATGTGCATTGACTCACGGGCAGAGATTTCCAAAAGTACGTGTCTACTTGGCGAGAATCCTCCAACCCCTGCGAACGGATCAGATCGTATCCCACAGCGGGTTGGGTTCTGCCAGAGCAATTCAGTGGGGGGCAGGCGGCCCCTACTAGATTAGGCCCCGTCTTTGCTGGCAAGCCCCGGGTCGCATCCTCTTGGCAATTTCTAACCCGCTACTTGCCCACGTGTCCGTACCCTATTAGCAGGGTTGCTTAGACCCCATGCACAAACGAGACTACTTCGCGCGCCGGGCGCATTACAAGGATGGCGCCAGCCGTCACTGATGCGAAAAAATGCGTCAGTTCAGATGCTTAGAGGGTCCGCATCCGGTAGAATCTTGAAGTCGGGCTGCGCCCTCCTATACAGCTCTGATTGAGGGCGACGTGGATGAACGTGCAAATGTCTGTATGCTCGTGTCATAAAGTCGGTGGCCTTTCAACGTTGCCCGATCAAATGGCCCCCTGCTGATTATGGCTCCATATGCACAAATAATTAGTGCGCACTAGCACGTCGGTGAATTGGTTGATGACCGGCCAGAGCCTTGCTAGTGACAGGCTGATATACGGATGCGTTGGCCCATGAGCACAACATTTTGACTGAAATCGATATGCATCCTCCTCAACTTTATATAAGTCTTTCTTATCACCAAAAAGATCGTAGTTCTGATCAACAATAAAAGCATATTCGGTCAACAACACCACAGTCGGCGCTCGGTCAAGATGTCACTGGTAACGGACGAGCCTCTTCTCCTTCTTTGGAGTCGAGTCCAGCAAAAGGGGTCGCGAGAAAATGTTGCAGTTAACTTTTGGCTCCATTTATATGCGAAATACGTGTTCGCAGAGAAGGAATGGATTATAGCCGTGGAAGACGCCCCATCCGAACTAGAGCCGTCCAAAAGAGGAGATCTCAAAGTGCAATATCTAGGAGACGCAGGCTTTGAGCTCCTACTTCACCAGGAGCTCAAACGGAGAGAAGCTACAAAGCGTGACCTTGAAGAAGTGGAACATCAGGCATTCAGTGATTGTATATCCTATCTCGCAGCGCATGAGGAAGTTTCCATGGCGTATGCAGTGACGAGCTTTGGAACTAGGGCAAGAATGTGGACTTGCGCACGGGAAGCGACATATCTGGAACCACTATTTGGATCTGAAGAGTTGGCCGAACCCTCGCAATATATCGAGGCTCATTCCAGCGAAGCAACCGAGTTACGAAAGGGATACGATCATATGAAGAGATTCTCACCAGTTGCACGTCGGGGCATTGAGCCTGGGGAGAGATCTCCAAAATCATCTCGTTCCAAGTAACTCCAGGGACCCCCGGTGCGTCGAGAAGGGGTGAAGTTGGCGTATAACCACATGTGACACAGAGCGCATGAACTTCGGTCAAGAATAATTGTCGAACTTTGGCAGGTTAAGCTCATGTCAGACTTACGGGATCAATCACGATCCGATTTCCGAGTCGCCCAAACCACCACCTGATAGTGCCAGTTTCCGGAATTGATCTCCAGTTGTCTCCATTACTGTTGTCACTTAGAGGTTCCACATCTGAGTCAACCTCCTTCCACTGAACACAGTGGAGCTTTCCCATAGTGATGTTATAGTATCGAGTATTCTCTCTTGAGATGTCTTTGCTAGAGATCAACCTGTCCCAGAAGAGTTGGCCAAGTACATCTTGGCTCCCGTCATGATAAACAAGTAGGACGCCCGTACACGAGGGCGATTTCTCGTCGTAACTGAACCTAAGGCTGCGGAGATTGTCTAGAGGAGCAGCTGATAGGTACCAATCCAAAGACCTCGTGGGAGAATCATAGAAGGCTGGGAGATTTGGAAGAGTTACAACTTCAGCTAGACTCTGGTTAGCTGAAGAGCATATGACTCCAAGCTCTGTGACATAATCGCATCGACCCTCGAGCGCGTTATAGTAGATTCCGTCAACGAAGCCGTCCGTTCGACCGAGTAAAGAATGAAATTCGAAGCCATCGTGGTTGATACGCGAATATAGGCCGAAGGTACGGACTCGCGAACGTGTTGTCTCGACCTAAATATGATCAGTCTGAGTATATACGTGAGAGAACTGCCTAACGTACTATAATACTACGGTCTTTTGTAGAGACGAGCTTTGGAGTACGAATCCAAATCCCTTGGATCTTTTCTCTTGCATTCACTGGAAAGCAAAGGCGTTGAACGTTTTTCTCCCGGACATAGATATCGCAAATACCGCAACTCGGATGGAGATCAACTAAGTCATGGGCGCAGATACCCAGAATTTTCTGAGACCGACAGTGTACAGTAAGCATATAGGCTTCCGCATTGAAAGGGACAAATCTGAAGCGAGAGTGAGAAGCGCCTGTGGAAGATGCCGAGAAGAAATTCTTTATATTAATGGTAGGAGGGTTCGTAGTGTCCCATAAAAATGAGTCGTAGAAATTAGAGACGAACTTGCGGCGTATATCTCGGAGAATAAGACCCTGATGCGGTGTTAGAAACTCCACGGTAAACGATCGGCAAACTCACGTCGGTGAAGCCCTCGAAGACTACCTGCGAAGAGGAGTCTGTGATATAATACCATGGACTACCGTCCGCAGGAATGGTCGATGCCCCTGGCCCGAAAATCCGAATATTCCTGACACCTATTTCGTCAAATGATACTGCAACTCGACATCTATCAGTCCGAAGCCTCCCCCTGAGTTTTCGGAGGTTCTCTCGTCCATCGTATTGATTGCTGATCATTGAGATGTAGGAATTACCGCGAAAGCGAAATGTCGTTCGATACACAACGCGGGAAGGGTCCAGCGAGATCTTGGCTCCAAGTGGCTTCCGACGTAACGCGCTGATATGAGACCGAAATTCTCTTATAGCTGAGAGACAGACAGGCCCCAATAGCTTCACTATTCCCAAGACGATTTCCCGTGGCATTCGGTCGACCAACTTAACCGAAAACATTTTCCGGAGAGCTGACGTACATTGTTCAACGGAATTTCCATCATTGTATATTGCCAGGCGCCGCTCTTTCCATCTGGGCCTGGTGAGAGTTCCATAAGAGAGGAGGTCATCGTGATTAGGTACATTATCGTCTCCGAGGGTCCAAATGAGGATGCTTAAGCAGGAAAGATGGCACCAGGTTCTGGCCTGTGGTGATTGTGTACAGAGGAGACAAAGCGGAGGGCATTGAACCACTTTAATTCTGCGGACGCTGCGATCAACTGCGAGACGTTGACATTAGCGACAAGTGGCGCTGAGAAATGCTCAACTTACTCACGCAATTGGGCTTCATCCAGGGAGGCTATCGTCTCGTGACATAGAATGCAGCTTGCATCAGAGAAATGAACGACGTCTATCGAATCGGAGGACATTTGGTTTGAATCATTCGGCCCGGTGAAATCCGAGGGCGCAGCACGGTCAAATAGGAGGACTATTGATCGGGTTCCCTCGTTCTGCTTGATGCGTCCGAATGTGTTTCAGGGTCCAGTGGTTGGGAGATCGAAAGAGAAATGGAGGTAAGGGCGTCTCGAGGTAATGAAGCCTTCAAAGCCATTCAACAGAATAGCAGAGACGCGCTGCCAAAATTGTCGGGGAGCTGCGACACAAGATTGACATGTAGGGAAAAGGAAGGTGTACCGAGGAGCTAATGATCAAGTGATACCAGTCACGTGCTGTGATTAGAACAACGCTGCGACTGGCAGGGTGCCTGACAGGAACGTCAAGAGATGTAATGACCGTCCACGCTAGTCTTGGGCCGAAGGCCTGTTACTGGCGTCGAGACCCCTTTGTTAATTACTCGAACGTCAGACGGGCCCAGGACCCTGTAGAATTCATGATGTTCCTCCATTGAGTCACAGTGTCACGTCGACGGTTAACACGTGACCCCCATCGCAGCGACGTCGCACAAGAGGACGCTACCACCCGCTCGCAATCAAGACTGCAGCTGGGTTTATCGACTAATCGCTACTCTAGGCTTATGCGTTCGTCGGAGATTACGACAAGCGTCGCGCCCGTAAGCTATGCAACGACATGCTTCAAGAGCCAGGCATTCATCTCTTTTACCAAGTCAAATGCCATCTAATGCTTGTTGCGCTCGCCGATAGCCCTCCTGTGCCAGAAACCCATTTTGATGAAGCTCACAAACTCTGCATTCAGTTATACGAGAGCATGAAGGATGTGAGGAAGAAATCCTCACGATGGAGGAAGGTATATCTACGTCTAGCTCGGAGGAAGATTTGGGGCTGGGCTGGTCTCGAGCGGTGGTAGGATGATCACGATCCTCTCGCTGCTGTTTGCCCGCCCACGGCGCAGATTACCTTTAGACCTGAATATCGTTCACTGCGGCACTTAGAGCATCGATGTCCTCCTGGTCAACCGCACGTGGAGGCTGAAGAAGCATATGAGGGGGTTTGGCGAAAACATCACCTATCTTTCTCTCAGTAATTGGCGGGTGCGAGCAGAGTCAAGTGCATACCTCTGATATTTCGTTCCCTGCAAAGCTCACAAAACTACTGAATGGTGAATTTTGCAACCAAACACTGTGCTGGAACATAGCCATATACCAAAATTTGCCGAGACCATGCATATCGGACACCGTCTGGATGTTTGGCACTGTAAGTCTTCCCTCCAGGAAGCACCACCAAGTCATGCGATCGACCTCAGGGAATGTTGCATCTCTCAAGTCGTTCCATGCGGATGATTGCAACCCGGCAGGTTGAATACCGTGCCAAACCCCATTTTCGTGCATAGCACAATGTCCATGACGCATCCTCACTGAACGATATCCATAGGGAGGGTCGAGACTTCTTCTCGCAATGATTTCGAAGACTCTCTGTCGTGAGGACTTTTCCATCCAGCAAATCTTTGATGCCCGCATAACGTTTGTATGACGCCCGGTTAGATTTCTACGTTTCTTTTTCCAGCATACATAGATCCTGACCGACGCTTCGCAGAGTGAAGCCTCTGCCTCCGACTATGGACCACGATTGATTGCGTTTATGACAACGCTTATTGAGAACTTCTTTCTATCTTGTAGGGCATGGACAGACGAAAGAGTCGCTCTAGGATGCTATAGAAGATATCGACATGGCTTATCCTTCTGGGACGATTGCTTTCAAGGCTGCTGGGATGATTACCTCAATTATCGAAAACCTTCTTTGCACACGACCAAGTAAAATGTGCGCCTGCGTTCCTGTAAGTAGGTCATAGTCGACATTTGTTCGATCACTAAAGCTTACTGCCGTGTATACAGCCGATTCTCTGCACTCGTCGTGTATTTCGACCGATGCCCTCTTCGGTGCCAGTGGTGGTACTTGCGAGCCAGGAGCGCATCAGCGTTCGCAGGAACGCCTTGAAGGAGGGTTCAAAAGTCTGGCTGGTTACTAAAATGGTCCACAAGTTCAACGGGTATTCAATCCCTATCACACCGCCAGACTTATTCCTCGCCACGAAAGACTCGCTAAATATTCGGCAGTAACTGTGGGAAAATTTCCAGCCCGCACAGCTGTTCCCCGACGGCACGATTATTGATGGCTTCAGCACCAATCCCATTCCGTATGTGCGATAGATCCTCAACTGCAGCAACTGCAGCAACTGCAGGGACAACAAACGGCAATGAATGCAGGCGGGCACCCAATTCCCGATATAGATATATCAGGATAAAGACAACAGCAGCCTCAAGTAAGGCCGCCTGGCATGCAAGGGATAATGGACGCAGGCATAGAGTTGCTCGACAGAGACGGGTGGTCGACGAATTCGATCAGAAACACATCTGTGGCACCCACGGCACTCAACGTGGAAGACGGGTTCCAATTGTTTGGGATCAATGGCGAGATGGCCGGCATGAATATGGACGGGACGTAGGCTCTCTGTCCGGATGCGTGTGATGCCAGCTCAGATTTAGCCCAAGGCAGAGAGCAAGGCGCGCGCCGTGCACTGGCTCGGGGATGAAAGTCCACTTCAGCGACTGGGTTACAAGGACGACATTCTGTGTACAAAGGCAGTTCAGCGATGGGTGCTACCATGGACATTGAAACTGACTAACGGACGGGTGGATATTGGATGGTGCTATAACCCTGTACATTCAAGAAGAGATGACAGGCTTTTGTGAATACGTAACTCATGTATTCTCAGCTAGTAAAAAGGAGTCTAGATCCTAGAGGATGGGGGTTCTAGAACCACTGAGACTTCAGGCGTCCTCCTTCCGGCCTCCGACCTCAGACCACTGATAACGGGCTTAGTGCGGTTGGTTGCTTGCCCTCTTGCACAGGATATGGATGGTATGTACATGATCGAAATGGCGATGTAGAACAAATAAGCTTAACCGCGGGTGAATGGTATCATAGTCTTGGGGGTTTCAAGCTTTGACCAAAAAGCAGATTAATGCTTTGGATCCGGTAAACAGACGGCAACACAAGCTGTGGGAGTGGGTGAGTGTCGCGCGCACGCACCTCGCGCCGACCGTGCTCCTCCTTCTCGCCGTGGTTTGTTTCGTCAGAGCGCTAGATGGACAATGTTCAGTCGACCGACCTCGCGTCTGCGTCTGGCCTTGCCTCTGGCAATCCGGGCAGGCCACCGTGGTGGGACTGCACAGCTTTCTGGCCCCCCTCCGTCCCTCGCCCTTCTTTTCGTGGCCGAGGCATTCGGTTCTTCTGACGTCCGTTGGTTGTCGAGATGATCCCCCAGGGATTGGTCGCGGTGTTCAGTCTTAGGTGCTTCGTCCTCTGTCCGGAGTCGGCACATCTCTATCCAAACGAGGACCTGCTTGGCGGAGATCTTGAAAGGTGGGTCGAATACGAGAGATAATCCGTAAGGGCGTGAAGGTGGTGCGTATCTTTGTCTTTGTCTTTTGTCTCTGTCTCTGTCTTTGTCTTCTTGTCTTCTTGTTGTTTGTTTTTCTGGGGAGGGGTCCGAGAGCGTCGACAACTGCGCAATCACCCACCGTCCAATCGGCCTAGCCTGTTTGACTGAGGGCTGATGGAGAACTCCCTAGACGTCATACCCTTCACTCAGGATTGCAGTCAGAACCGATTTCGCCGGGGCTCTGTCAACAAATCGGCCGACGAACGATCGATTCCCGGCATATCATGCCTTCCTGTAGAAAGCTGGGGACTGGTGTAGTGTGAGCGCCGCCGCCGACGGAGCCAAGGGCAACCCCCCCCCCCCCCCCC